TGTGCATTTTATGTCAACGAAACGAAAAACAGTTTTTGGACTTTGACAATCCAAAAAAATTGACAGACACAGACTACAAATCATTATTAGGAATCAGCAAGGAAAGTTTTCGAGAACTTTGTGACTCTGTACATGGTTTTGTGAAGAATACACCAGCAAGAAGCTTAACTACGTCTGTGGCAATCTTTTTTTTGTAAAATGAAAACTGGACTTTCAAATCTGCTACTATCAACTTTATTCCGCACATCAAAATCCATCTTTAGGAGAGCCATTCATGCAGTCAGAAAAGCCTTGTTGACTACATTTGTTCCAAAAAATCTTGTTTTTTTTTCACATTTCAAGAGATGAAATTATCAATAACCACACCAGACCTCTTGCTCAATCTTTATTTGGCAGTGTAGAAAAAAATTCAATTCATCTTACTATTGGATGGAACTTACATATATGTGAACAAAAGTAATAATTTTCATTTCCAACGAAGATCATTCAGTATGCACAAAGGGAGACCCCTCATTAAACCAATGGTGGTCGTTACAACAAAAGGATATTTTGTCTCCATCTTAGGCCCTTATTTAGCGGATAAAAAGAACAATGATTCTTCCATCCTTACACACATCATCAAGAGTAATGCTGAAAGTATTCGCTCCTGGCTTAATGAGGATGACATCTTCGTTGTAGATAGGGGCTTTAGAGACGCTCTTCCTTTGCTAGCAGATTTGGGGATCCAGGCAGAGATGGCTAGTTTTTTAGAGGCTGGTCAGAAGCAGATGTCGACCAAAGATGCCAATATGAGTAGACTAGTGACAAGGGTAACAGTGGGAATTATATTTTTAGATTTTTAAATTCATTTTCATATTAACTATAAATCTAAAATTTGCAGACATTCTTACATTAATAAATTGTCTACTACATTTTAAAACATAGCTTAAGAGAACATGTACAGTAATACATACACTAGCTGTACGTCTTTCTGAAATCAAAAATATATTTTCATGATGTCTTAGGTCAGTTGGGTGGTAGAGTCATCTAAAATGCCCGTATCAAGAGATGGAGATATCTGGACCGTACACTACCAACCCATCAAATTCCATTCATTGGAGACTAAATTCGGATTGTCTGTGCAGTATCCAAGTATGCAACAGATTTTCACCTCCACTAAGTCCTGCAAGCAGCATAGAGGAGGAGGATGCAGAAGCTGCTAAAATGCTTCACCTCTCCAAGCTAGTAAGGATTCTTTTATTTCAAAGACATATTAGTGTTGATTTTTGTCACAGTACATTTCAAAATGTGCAAAATTTACAGCTAATTTATATTATTTAAATACTCTGTTTCCAAAATGTCTTAAGTGTTATTGAAATTGATTTTAAATCAAGTCAATCACTTGAAAGCTTTTATTGAGGAGAAAGGACTGCAAAGAAAAACTGTTGTATGGAAAGCGACCTCTGAAATGGATTTGGGTTCATTTCCTACGCTCGATGATGAAGAACTCAGAAATCTGAACTGTGGTACTTACCAATTAAAATTATCCTCCAGTTACATGCAAGAGCACATAGATGGTGAAAGCGACATTTATTTCCATGAAGAGGACAACCTTGTTCAGAACCAAGATCCAAAGTAGGCACACATCTTCTAACAAGTACCAACTCTGGATACGTTACAGTGAGAGTACAGTGAAATCTTGGTACTGCACATGTAGAGCAGGCGCGAGAGTAGTTGGGATGTGCTCGCATATTGCATCAGTAATATGGTATCTAAGTGGAAGCAACTGATATTCCCCCAATCATCGATGAATCAGACAGCGAGAGTGGAGAAACTTTGCCGGAAGAGTGATTTTTATGCCTCGTCTTAAAAAATGGTGTATGTCATGACCGTCTTCCCTCCCTCCATCCTTCCATCTTTCTAAGAACCGGGTATTCAAATTCATCAACATTGTTTGACCAGGAATTTTCCTTTGATTGTTGAATTTTGTGTTTAACTTAGGTTTAAAGAAAACTATTCATGATATTGTAAAGAAAATTCGTTGCTTTAAACATAATTATAAGAGCTTTTTGATTTTGGCTGTTATTTTTTCTCTTTTAAGTATAAAAAAAGCTCAAGGGGACTTAATTTGATCATATTTTGTATACATGTACTCATACAAAGTTAAATGATATACATACTTATGTAATAGGATTATATGTTGATAAAAAAATATCCAGGCATTAATTGAAATAACTGAAATTGATTTGCATCTTTGTCATAAAACTGCTGATGAATAGTATTACAGGGAGATCACTTTCCATTCTAAGAATCAAAAGTTTTAAAATTTCATGTGAGCTTTAAATATTGTTACTGTGTTTACAAATTATTGCCATTACAATGACAGCTTACTCCTTCTCATGCATTGTCTCCTGCATATGTTATAATCAGTTGGATGCTTTGGGAAACTCCACACCTGAATAACTGTTATGTGCATTGTAAATACTAAGAAACAGTATTGTTATTATGATTATTACATGTATATAATATCATGAATACTAAATAAAGATATTGTTTGTCTGTTATGTATTATCATAAAAACTTAGTTATGGTATTAATAATATATACATAATCAAAACAAATACCAAGTCATGCTAATTTTTTTATATATAAACACACACATTTGAAACATGCTTATTTTGAAAAAAAAAATTCTTATGAGAAATACATGTACGCTATGTATATGTTCTCTTTTGGAGATAAAAAGGTATTGAGATAGAAATTCAAATATATTAGTATTTTCACAACAAAATTACATTACTGTCTAAGTAATGAGTCTATTCTTTATAATTTATAAATCTGTAAAGTGTCAGAATGCCAATTTTTAAGAAATCTAGCATTTGGAAATTAATTCATAAAAGTACTCTGAGTTAGAAAATGATATTTATCCCATGTTTTAGAGCTTCTTTATAAAAAAAAAACGTCATGATAGAATTGATTTCATTCCAATATTGTACAATACATAATTACTGTCTTGCATATAAAATATATATATATATTTATATCAAAATTCTTGAAAGCCAAAATGAGCACTTGCTCTTTTTTCCTAAATTGGGCACTCCTTTTACCCTGTATATGAAACAAGTGGCTGTGAAATAACGTCATGACGTTAAGAAGCATATAGCTGTAACATCATGACGTAGCTTCTATTATAAAAACAATACCAACTTTAAGCGACTGTAAAAAGAAAATTAAAAAAGATATCGTTACAAAATGTATTGTTTTATAATCTGCTAATCTTAACACTTTATTTAGGAAAGTTTTATTCACGACAGGGCATATTATGGTACTTCGTGAACTAAGTTCTTTGTATACGATTTGCAAAAAAGTTATTAGAAAGAAACAGAAAATGTGTAGACGGAAGATTGACAGACTGACAGATGTACGGACAGACAGTGTGATTACTATAGGGTCTCTTGGTCACGTAGGTGAGGGAATACATATCATTTTTACCTGTAAAGTTTTAAAGCAAAATTTTTAAAAATATCGGCCAGTCAAGCAACATTTTGAGAAGATGGAGAACATGTTGAATAAAATACAGATTCGTTTATTTTTTCGGTTATAATAGAAAAAATATCTACCTCTCTAATAGTTTAACTTCCGGGTATATTTAACTGATAATGCCGCTCTTCTCTAAATTCTGTGTAATTAATATGCAAAGCATATGTTCTACACAGGGCTTCTGTTAAACTGTAATTAAGTGAATACATAACAATGACTGAATCAGAGTACATAAATTATTTCTTTAATATTTTCTGCTACATACTGTATAAATCTCTATCCTCGCACTAAAATACCCTCAATCATCTTTTTCACCCCTCCTACACCTCTGTAGACATTGTTTACGTTCATGCTAATGTTATATGAACCAAAATTTTAAAACCAAAAACGGCTAAATCCGGCTTCCGGTTTACCACGAGTAGGCACCAGGGTTCTCCATGACCTGTTTTACTGTGTTGCTCCCGACACAGTAAAATTTTCTCCGACACAGTAACGATTCAATTTTCATGCATGCAACACAGTAAAAATTCTGCCGACACAGTAAGAGTTGTGATAATTAGAAAATCTAAACACACAAACTCTGTCTAACTGAAACTTTAATCAAACAATTCTACCGTTTTTCAATTCAAAAAGTAATAACACTTAATTACTAGGGCTTCACCTTGAGTGAATCAATTATCTCGTAGACCCTCGCCGGACTTTACGCATGACGGAACAAAGACAAATAAATTCTTTTCACAACTCAATGTACCGGTTAATTGGTAGCTGCAATAAAATACATTGTATTACTTATGAAAAATATTTAAATATGTCGTTCCTGTAAAGCCACGGCTCTAGAATTATGTAAGCACTGTAAGTAAAACATGACATCGTTCCGAAGTCATTTTATTGATGTAAATAAATTGCCGAAAATTTTGAAATTCAGCATGTTTACTGTTCTGAGGTTCCTTTTTGTAATGCAGTAACTCGATCAAGAAACCTGATAAATAAACGCAGCAAAATCTACTTTCACAAAATGTTAAGTAGTTCGAATATCAGTCAGAAGTTCCTCTGCTTTTCCGAACGTTTTTTTTTTCTTTTTATCCGTACGTACGACCATACCATTTGTGTAACGAATTGGCGATATTTGAATGAGTGTGTGCTTATAATCTTTTATAATTATAATGAATTTTGATTCAGTCACGAATTTGTTCGCGAAAATACCGCGAAATATTGGTGCTTCGCGTAAACTCTGCAACACAGTAAAATCTCAAATGATGGAGAACCCTGAGGCACCTACTTTAATTCATACATGTGGGTGTGAAAGCCTTCTTCCTTCAATAAATATTGATTCAATTTGTTTCTACACGCCTACTGTTCATAAATGACCTTCACATACATGTAAGGATTCCTGGCATACTACCCAGAATTAATTTCAACTGCCTTTTATAGTTCCATTGTTTATTGCAAATCATATTTCTGAGCTAGCTCCGCCAATTAAACTAATAAACCCTGACCACTGGGACTGCTTTCTGGGACCGCTGGGACCGCTGGGACTGCTGGGACCGCTGGGACTGCTGGCACCGCTCTGGGACCGCTGTGGGACTGCTTTAGCAGATCCAGAAAGCAGTCCCCGGGACTGCTCTGGGGCTGCTTTGTGTAAGGTTTAGTCAAGTCGGTACTGTAAAATATCATTCAAATTCATGCCTTTCATACCTTGACATTTTAATTCTTATTCCACATGTTTTGTTATATCTTAGTTTATCTTAACATTAAAATATGTCTTTCGGCCTATATATTTAAATTTGAATATAATTTGTAAATCATAAAAAAAGTATTAGAAAGAAATAGAAAATGTGTGGACGGAAAACTACAGACAGACAGATAAAGTGATTACTATAGAGCACCCGATATCATTGCGGGGCCCCTAGAAAACTTACTGAGTCCTCATTTTTGGCAGAATCAGGCCACCCTGTCCATATCTGTTGTCTCTCGGGCACACTAGTGATGGCGTACATATGACTTTTTACCTGTAAAGTTTTAAAGCAAAATGTTTAAAGATATCGGCCAGTCAAACTACATTTTGTCAAGACGGAGAACATGTCGAATGAAATACAGATTCGCTGATGTTTTAGCTTATTACAAAAAAATCTACCTCTCCAATAGTTTCACTTCCAAATTTATTTAACTTATAACGCTGCACTTCTCCATTTTCTGTGAAATTTATATGCAAAGCATATTTTCTATTTAGGGCTTCAGTTAAACTGTAATTAAATGAAAACAGTAACAATGACTGAATCAGAATACACAAATTATTCCTCTAATATATATTTTTATTGCTAATGATTCTGATTAATTTTTAGAATATTTATCTGTCTTCACTTACTTTTCAATCCCTATTTGAACTGCTGGTTTGTCAAATATGGGATTGGAGGAATCGGAAGTTGATAGAAATAATGTGTTCTCTTTCGGAAGATAAAGATCTCTAAGAATTTTCTGCAAATATTATTTAATATCAGACTCATTAATTTTTGTTATATTCAGACGAAAAATACTCCTTATGTTCTTTATATTGAGAAACAGTCAATATAACTGATATAAGTTCTTTTGAGAAACATTGGTAATTTCAATTTATGACCAGCAAACAGAGTTTTCCCATACAGTAACACTCGGCTATAACGAAGTCACGTGTTTATCTATATCCGTAATTCGTTATAACTGTACAAGAAACTCATTTAATTTACAAAGCTGGGGCTCCAAGATAACTTTGCTGTATCTGTGAATTCGCAATTTCCGTGTTCGTACTAAACTAGTTTTACCGTATTTTCAAATGACTTAAACTAAAAATCAGATTAAAACATGTTCCCATCAACCTTTTACAGCTGATCTCAGATAACTTACATCATCCCCCACTCTTATCTTCTGAGTATTCCAACCTCTTAAGATCTGTTTTTCTGGAGATACTCCAGTTTTCTGAGACAAAAGATCTTTTATTGTCCCTGGAGAAAAATTAAAATATGATATATACAAATACTTGGATAAATTTATATATAAATAAATGTATGATGTACCAATTCCAAATATTTACATGTACTGTGTTTTTCTAGTAAGCCAACAGTGAAATTGATTTGAATACCATTTTCATGTATATTCACGTGTAGAAATATAAACGGAAAACTCAGCTTAATGTTACATGTTCTTTGATTTAGATATAACGACAAGATGGTTCCGTGTGTGGATGCAATAATTTATAAGGGTATCAATACGAATCGGTTCAACCCTACAATAACAGTAACATATAAGCACACACACACACACACACACACAAAACAATACAAAGACAATACAAACAGACATTCGCATCTTTAACACAACCATTTCTAGTTCATTGACATAATTATGTCACACTTTACTTAGTTTAATTAGGTCTTTAAACCAATACACATCTTATAATAGAAATAACAAAAAATTACATTAGTCAATCTAATCAAAAGAGACACACTTGTACTTTGCATCAGCACATACCCATTTATGGAATAAGTTGAATTCCTCTAGTCCATTATAATCTCACAACTTCACCTCAGATATAATATATCCCAATTAACAATATGCAAAAATTATAACAAAATTTCAAATCCCTAAGAATGCAAGAATGGGTTAAATTATTAACTTGCTTTTATAGTTTCTCATCAATCTTTATATACATTCCTTATACAGACTTCAAAACTAGTTCTCAGAATAAAGGAAATCATGATAACTACAAGTAATTCCTGCAAATTCTACCTTAGAACCATTCAACCACACTGATCAATAGAAATCAAAGCAACACTCAATAATGGAATAAACCATTCATTACATTACCTAGTAGTCTACCTGGAATACATCATTTAACTAAATAACTGTGTTTAGGTTAATAACAGACACTGAACAAGACAACATAGAGTGTTGCATTGCGCAGCGCTGAATGAATGAATGAATGACTGCATGTAGGCATATTTTCCAGACAGCGCTAGGCCGCTTCATGAAACATGCCTATGTGACAAGTCTACGTGACTCACACACAAAGAATTCACACAAATCTTAAAACATTTCTCAACTGATAGCATACTAAGTACATCTATTAGAGAGAGGTTAGAAAAATACATTATCATTACCAATTTTTTCATTGTCCCCTACACTGAAGTAATAATTTCGATCTCTGTACTCCACTTTAAAATTTAACATCCGGGGTCTTTGGCCACCTCCTGGATGTCTTCGCCCTAGGGATAAACTACTTGTGTAGCGGATGACTTCATCACATCCTGATGCAGAACTGGGATCAAAAAATGCCCTGGAGTCTGTAATGTTGCTATCATCGTCTGATGAAAATGCAGAGTTAGGAAGGGGGATAATGTCCTCAAAATCTGAAGGAAGTGACTCTTCGCCAGTTGGAGATAATCCTCCATCAGATTCCAAAAGTACACTGTCGACTGCTCTCTGTTGCAGTAAATACACAAACACGTGAAAACTCAGAAAAATCATTAAAAAAACAAATATAACAAAAAAGGTCAAACATACATTTCTCATCATATTGATTTTAATTCAGACAATGGATATTAAAATATCCTGATCATCTTTTTTAAAATATTTCAACAATAAATGATTTAAATAACTTTTCAATATAGAATTAAATTCAAATCATTTGACTTCAAGATTTGGATGCAAGTATCAACGTCCTCCAAGGCTGTAAAAGCTCGATATGTCAATTATAAATATTATTTTAGTCGATGCATGAATATACGTGTATTTTTATTATTAAAGAAACTTCATTTTCTTAGTACTATCAAAGCTTATCTTTTTTTAAGCGAAAGTTCTTGTAATTTTTTGGCGTTTCATGTTTGATTCTTATATCCCATCAAAACACATCGGGATTTCAACTGGGTTTAATACCTTAAATATTTGGAACAGAATGTCTGTTAAGTCTCCATCAGCTTGTTTATGATAATAGTATAGTAATTGCACAACAAATATACCCAGACCAAATTGATTGCTACTCCGGATCCACATCCTGAATTGTTAACAACTCAACATATTAATAAATAAATATTTGGATGTGCTGATCAGACCAATATTGTAATTAAGATGTTTTGCGACAAATATGTTTTCAATAATAACAGTCTACAAATCTGTTTTAGGTTACATAGTTTAGTTAAAAGAAAAACACATTTGGTCACGACATAGAGTTCAACAAAAACACACAGATTCTATGTACAATCATAATTCACTTTGCATGTACAGTACGAAGCTGTAAACTCACCATGTTTACAGTGTTCAACTTTAAAGAAAAATGTACCATTCACTGATAATTAAGAATGAAATGTACGCTACTCGGAGACACAATTTCATGAAAAAACTCCATGAGGATATGTTTTATGTGGTTCAACTAACAAACAACTTCAATTTGTATCCAAAATTCAAGGCCCATAACAAGTAATATTTAATTTTACATCCGTTTGAAAATTAAAAAAAAAGAAGAAGTTTAAAATATTTACAAGACTGAACAAGAAATGAAAATAGCCTCACAAATGTTACGTAAGCGCCAAAATTAACTTTTTTATTTGTACTATCTAGAGACTTAATCAACGAGAAAGCTTATTGGTGAGAGTATCTATTCTTCTAATTTGGAGGCTCTAGGCGATACATATTTTTACCTCTATAGCCCTATACCTCTATAAAGATATAAACTACACCTCTATTACAATTTTATTAGTACCTGGGGTTATATTTTTGACATTCTTTCTGCCAGGGTCCCATTTAAAGCCTATCTTTTGAGCATTTGTCCCTACCATAGGCTTATAAAATCAAAAGTAAAACTTATAATGAAGAAGCATCATCAATCTGAATTTCACGCCATTTTGACCTTTTGTTGTAGAAAACATTCATTTTGTAAACGATTCTTTTACTGAAGAAGTTATGTAAGAAGGAAAGTTAAACCGATATTTCATTTGTATCAATTAAAATTATTGATAATAAATAAGTTTTTATTCATTATATAGGTCTGGGGTTTAAAGTTTAATGTACCTTTTTTTTTTTTTACATTTTTAATTGTCCTTTTACAATATATAAAAAAGGATAAATTGGTTTTATTCTGTAGATGACAATCTCTAATACCAATTACAACCAGGAATTGATATGAGTTTTTAAATTGCTTATCTTCGACAATTTTATACGATCCTAGGGAAGGTGGGGGTATATTGACAATTTTTTGTTTGCTACATGAAACAGTGAAAAACAGCTTGTTGAAATTCAAAGTAAAAATGTATTTAACAACAGCTAGCATTTCGACGAGGCCTTAATGAAATATCATGTATATTTAATCTATTAAAAGAATATGTGATATGGCATTAAAGGTGAAAGGTTATATTTAAAAACGTGTACGTGTAAGTAAGGGTTACATTTACTTTTTTTTCTAAAGTTAATACACAGATGACGCTGCTTTTTGGAGCACCTTTGATAAAATTTACTTTGCAAGTAAAGTTTTGTAAAGGCGTTCTTTTTTTCTGACAGTGAAGAAAAAGAAAAAAAATTAAACAGATCCAATTTAGATTATTTCTAAGTATTCATATTTTTTGTTTAACATAACATCATCTCATCGATTGGGAACTTGGTATTGTTGAAAATTATTTAACTCCAACCCTTGGTCTATATGTGATCTGGGTTGCAATGTGTATATAACACACACAAACGAGATCGTAAAAAATCTCAAAAAGAATTCAGAATTTTAAAGGAGTTACATGTAACTTAATTTATGTTTAGGTATTTCAAAATCTATATTATGCCGGATTTTTAAAAATGCAAGTCTTATGTTACCCAAAATTTTAAGCAACGAAAAAAAACATAGGTAACAGCTTTAATAATGCCTTTGCGCTTATAGCACAAGAACAAAGCTGTAATTCATTTTTTCATACATTGGATTTATTTTTAAGAATAATTGCAGGGAATGAACAGAAACCAACAGTACCTGATCCCCTCCCCCGAATTACCCCCCACTTTTATTAATCTTTTTGTAAGAACTTTTATATTGATCTGTTGTAGCGTCAGATATCATTTCCAATCACAATTTGTATACACATTTAGTTGCATAAAATTCATTGACGGCGCTATACCTGTCAATCAAGATTGTGAACCCATGTGATTTAAAATATTGTTTTGGTCAATCCATTAAAGAAAAAATTTCAGTGTGAATACGTTCTATTTCCACTATGGAGGACAATAAATTTGTGTAAAATTAGAATGCATTTTCTTACCCAAACTTTATACAGAGGTCAAAAATGAATTAATAAATAGTGTACGGTGTTTGTATTTTTGTCACTGGGATTGTTATTGTTATAAATTGGATAAGTCGAAAATATCATTATTCTAATTTCAATTTGATTACTTTATTTGCTGTTCTCAAGTACTGTGTTCTGAACCTTATTTTGAGTCAATGTATTCATACGAGTCAACTTATGTATTTAGACGTTTTTGAAAATATTACGTGTTGGATATTTATTACAACAACGTTATCCTTTGGGCATACGCTTTCTCGTAGCCCAAAGTTTTGTCGAAAGCAAATTGATCATGTAGTAAAATCGAAAAATCTGACAATTTTGACTTATATTCTGCAAATTCATGTGCTACAAGATATGCTTCTTGTCTCTATTTGCCCTGCACAAGATTTTTAAACAGCACCTTTTGATGCGTCAGTTCATTTATGTAGAACTAAAGTACATTAACTACATCGATTTGTAATTTTTATATGACAAAGACATTGGGAATGTAAATATTGCAAAATCAATAGACAGGGAGGGGTCATATAGACCGTGTATCATATCATTAATTTCGAAGTCTTCAAATGAGAAGCTGGTCAGTAACGATCAAGACAGCAAAGTGTCAAAGTAGCTCCCCTTCCTTTAATTATGTTGTTCATGCAATGGTATGCTATACAGTAAACAGATATTTCCCTCCTCCTAGAAGTCACATTGCCCTCGCTTGTTTGCTAGCGCGTTAGCCACCGCCCATATATATCAGAATATCTCGCGATACCCAAATTTGGTCAAAAAGAATTAAAATTCCACAGACATGCCTATGGGGGAGTTTATTGATATGCCCTCCCCCCTTCATCGCCCCCTTTAGAAATATCCCTGGTTCGCCGTTGACATTTCATACACACTCCCTAGCTCACGAGAAAAACAAATAAATCAAGAGAACTTAATAGACTCTTATTTTAATTTAATTTGCAACATCCATGTAATAATACCAATAAAATCTTATTTCTTGCAGGTTATTTGTTGATGCGGGATAGGGTTGGGAGCTACACACACATTAATGTTTTATCAAGGTTACAAGTATTTGTTGAAATATCAAAGGCGAAACATAGGTTATCATACTTCATTTATCAGTTTATAAATTAGAGTTATATTTATTTTCAAATTGGGATCGGAATCCCTCTGATTGAGATTCGTTTCATATTCATTTTCAGATTTGGATTCGATTCATATTCATAAACATCTCTTTTAAGACCCCTCTCTACCCTCAAGACCATCATCTTAACATTATACATTCTACACTATCTTAAGAAGCTTTCAAATTAGCTTCATCTTATCTGACCAACTGGTTCTTCAGAAGAAGTCAAAACTGTGAACAGACGTACGAACAGACAGACAGCAGGACGGACGGACGACGAGAAAATGTTATCAGGAAAGCTTTCTTGAATCTTTCGCTCAAGTGAACTAAAACATCAAAACTCATAATTTTCAGCTACAGAAGGCAGAAAAGTCGCATAATGTCCATATGGCGAAAGAAAAATATTCATAAAGGCCCCAAACACCACTACACTCAATATGCGTCCCACTGATCGACGCCATTTTTAAACTTTTTTATGATCGAAACTTTTTGTAAAACAAACATGGAACATACATGTATTTTGAAAAAAGAATACACTCACATGAGATGGCACCTTCTTGGATCTTGTAATGTTTGCTACCGTAAGCTCTAAATAATGAATGGGATAATTTAAACCACAACAGCCAATCAGCATCTGAAATTAGAACACGGGAGAACATAGATATAATACAAGTAAGGGAACAATGTACATGTTTATCGAAAATATACTGAAAGGGAAAACAAACGCAGGGTTGCATAATATTCGAAAATCTTTTGACTGCATGTCCGTAAAATACAAAAAATTGGTCAGATGAGAATAAGAATTACAGTGCCGGATACAACCTATAACCAGAGGGAACCCAAAGCGGACCACAGGTTAGCTGCCCTGGTTTGCTCGAGGTCAGCTTCAGTTTCTCTTTCAGGAATATTGAGACCGCTCTGGGTGCGCCTTGGGTGCGCTTTGGGTGCGGCTCGGGTGCGATCCGGGTTCGCTCTGCGTTCGCTTGGGGATACCTCAGATCTGGGTCCACAAGAGAGAACTTTACCGTTATTTGCCGCCAGTAAGCCCCACCTCTTATTTACGTTAATTAAGTAGTGAAATCGGTCATCGTTTTGCGGCGATCGATACATGTACACTGTAACATGTAAACTGTACAAGTATACAATGCCTTAATAGAGTAAGTTGATTAATTTTCTATGATTCAACTCTACATCCGACGTTGATTTATAATTGATTTTCTAGATTTTTCAGCTCTCGGAATTTCGATCTCGAAAATTTCCTAGTTACAGGTTTTTAACAGCAGGTTAATAGAAATTTATTTTTCTTTACTTATAACACAAAAAACGATGATAAAAAGGGGAAGAAAAGTGTTTAACTTATTTTCAATATTTCGCATGTAGAACAATTGAAACTAACAAAGGCATCTAAATACAGTACCGACCAGACCAAACCTGATACCCAAGCAGTCCCAGAAGTAGAGATTATTATAGTTAATTAATATTTTCAGAGACTGTATATTTACACAAATGTAGTTAGAATGTTATTTTAAATAAAGTTATTGAATAAGGAAGTCGAGAAAAAAAATTTATACCTAAAAATAAACAAGTATATAAGAAAAAAATATCTACAGGAAGGTCTATTTTATTATTTAATGTAAACATATGTGCATTAAAAATTTTCATTTGCACTATTTAAAAATAGTCAATATTCAGTGAGATATAAGATTTTTAATTGAAAAGGTTCATGTTTTACGAGTACCACTCTAAAGGGAATTGCATGCAACCCTATAATACAGCCTAACAATTTATTAAAGCCATATATGGCGTATGTGAAATGAAAATTTTTAGAATAAAATTTTTGGAACTTATTATTTGTATCATTACTTAATATAAAGATAGAACTTTTCCGTAAATTACAAAATCTAAGTCAATTGCGTTATAAAGATATTACAATTTAAATTTGATTCTCGGAATTTTCTCCGTATCGGAAAAAAATACAACATTACACATTACAGAGATGATAAAATTGTATTTTTAGATGAGACGAGGTGTTCTCCGTGTTCAGAGTTATACGAAAAGCTTTAATTTGAATGTATTAACTATATTTCTTTACTTAATTTTGTATTTTCAAAAATATATTATTTTGATCAGTTACGCCATATATGGCTTTAAATGACCATAAAATAAAATTATGCTACCAATGGGGGATTTATTTATGAATTACCAGTAGTTTTTAGTTGATAACAAAGTTATCAAAAGAGTACATTTATTTTATAAAAAAGAGTTTTAAATGCCAGGAATCGTGATTTCTTTTTTTGTTTTGCTTGTGTTTACATGCACCTTGCCGATTAATGTTTATTAAATGGTATTAACACCAGCGGTTTTAATCGCCTTAGGGTAGAAAATCTGTGTATATTATTAGAATGATTAATTTTTTCCCCTAATTTGTTTGTCTTCATTTATGGCAACCGATGCTTGATTTATCTTTTTAGGCATAATAAATGTTTTGCTCATCTTTCTTTTCACTGAGATATGGGGTAAAACATACAGGTGCCCACATCGCAGTTTAGTTCTTGAAGCCTTTTATGTTAACAAAAATATTTGTAAATCAGCTAAAAAGTGAAATCATCTTTTTTAAGAACAATTTTATCAAAATTTTTACACCGTTCCTATTCATGAACATAAATTTTATTTTCAATTCAATTCTGAATGTATAAAATACAAAGGGGGATGTCCACTACTTATGATACGACTTTCCTGGATGTCTATTACTACAGTAAAACTCGGTTATAACGAAGTCACGGGGACCTAGGAATTTACTTCGCTATATCCGTAATTCATTATATCCATAAAAGGAATATGTAAAATTTGTATAGCTGGGGATCCAAAATAACTTCGCTATAACCGTAAATTCGCTATACCCGTGTTCGTACTAAACGAGTTTTGCTGTACATACAAAGATTATAAGCAAGATATAAAATGACTTTCAAGCAAAATTATGTTAAAAAAATCATATAAAACATTAGTAACCTGTATTGATATTTTTTATTGTAACTGAGTACCTTCCTTCGTATATAGAAATTTTGCCGACAAATTTGAAGTAGGAAAATCCCATCTGCATAGCAAACCAATTGTGCACAAATAAAAGCAATGAACAAAATGTATTATTTAATGACATAAGAGTAAATTATTTTCTACGTTTTCTGTAAATAGCTATCAAAAATATTGGAGTTGTACCAATGCAATCATAAACGTATAGTATATCGAATAATCCCCTAGGTAAAATATATTTCTGAAATGTATGGTTCGACCTCACACTTGTGTTTTAACGATTCAATTTTCTGCTACATACTGTATAAATCTCAATCCTTGCACAAAAAAAACCTTGATTATCTTTTTACACCCCTCCTACACTTCTGTAGACATTGCTTATGTTCATGCTAATGTTATATGAACCAAAATTTTAAAATCTAAAACAGCTAAATCCAGCTTCCGATTTACAGCGAGTAGACCCCTACTTTTATTCCTACATGTGGGTGTGAAAGCCTTCTTCCTTCAATAAATATTAATTCAATTTGTTTCTATACGCGTACTGTTCAATTTTGACCTTCACATTCATGTAATGATTCCTGGCACACTATCTAGAGTCAATTTCAGCTGCCTTTTATAGTTCCATTGTTTATTGCATATCATATTTCTGAGTTAGCCCCGCCCATTAAACTAAGAAACCCCGACCACTGGGACTGCTTTCTGGGACAGCTGTAACTGCTGGCACCGCTCTGGGACCGCTGTGGGATTGAATTGCTGTGGGACTGCTTTAGCAGTCCCAAAAAGTATAGCAGTCCCCAAAAGCATTGCCCAGGACTGCTCTAGGGCTGCTTCGTGTTCGGTTTGGTCTGGTCGGTACTGTAAAATATCATTCAAATTCATGCGTTACATACCTTGAAATAATAATCGTTATTTCTTATGTTTGGCTATATCTTAGTTAAACTTAATTTTAAAATATGTCGTTTGGTCAATATATTAAACCAACATTCCAAATTTGAATATAATTTGTAAATCAAAAAAAAGTATTAGAAAGATAAAGAAAATGTGTGGACGGAAAATTACAGACAGACAGACAGATAGAGTGATTACTATAGGGCACCCGCAAATCATTGCGGTGCCCCTACAAATCTTACTGAGTCCTCATTTTTGGCAGAATCAGGCCACCCTGCCCATATCTGTTGTCTCTGGGGCACATTGGTGATGGCGTACATATGATTTTTTACCTGTAAAGTTTAAAAAGCAGAATTTTTAAAGATATCGTCCAGTCAAACTACATTTTGTCAAGACGGAGGACATGTTGAAGGAAATACAGATTTGATTAGGTTTTAGTTTATTACAAAAAAATCTACCTCTCCAATAGTTTCACTTCCAAATTTATTCAACTTATAGTGCTGCACTTCTCCATTTACTGTGAAATTTATATGCAAAGCATATTTTCTATCTAGGGCTTCTGTTAAACTGTAATTAAATAAAAACATTAAAAAAATGACTGAATCAGAATACATAAATTATTCCTCTTATATACTTTTATTGCTAAAGATTCTGATTAATTATCAAAATTTTTATCTGTCTTCACTTACTTTTCCATCTCCACTTCAACTGCTGGTTTGTCAATTGTGGGATTGGAGACATCAGGTGTTAATAGAAATAGTGTGTTCTCTTTAGGAAGATACAGATCTCTAAGAATTTTCTGCAAATATCAATTAATGTCAGATTCATTAATTATTGTTAAATTTAGACTCAAAGCACTCCTTTGTTTTCTATATTGAAAAACAGTCAATTTAATTGATATATGTTTTTTTTTAAACAAAAAAAAATAGTAATTAGGTCTTTCCACCTTTCTGTGGAAAGATCTATTGAAATTCTTTTGCTTATTAGGTCTTTCCAACTTTCGAAGAAAGATCTATGGTATCCTTCTGTTTCTTGTTAAGGTCTTCCAACTTCCTCCGGAAGACCTTATTTTTATTCGTCGGTTTCGTATTATTAAGGTCTTCAGTCTTCAGCGGGAGACCTTTTTGTTATTCTTCGGTTTCTTTTTCATTTTCTATTACCTATTATTAAGGCCTTCCGTCTTCACGGATGACCGTATAGGGATTACTGTTTTTGCTACTTTTATTATTATTATTCTTTATTTTTAGACGAAATTTTGTGCAAGGGATTTCTCGTAAACTACAAGGTGGATTTCAATTTTTTTTTAGGAATTATATGTCAATCATTATATGAATTTTATATAAAATTCCGTTCCTTGGAATATTCGGTTACAGTTCCAAGTTATGGGCAATTTTCTGATTTTAAAATGCATTTTTGTCTTCGAATGTTCACGGGATTGGCTCAAGATATTCACTGGAGACTTCTTGGAGATGATAGATAATGAGAATTAGATGTTCAATTTTGCCTTTGTTAGCCTCGTCAGTACTTCCGGTCGCTACAGGAAGCGAATTAAAAATGTGCTGTTTTACAACTTTTTTGTTTTCCAATATTTTTCTTTGATATAATAAATTTTAACGGGGACCCTACTGGAAAGGCCTAATATATAATTTATTTTAGAAGTGATCATTCCACACATTAGATATCTGAAACGGGTCCAAGATGGCGGCTGTCTCAGTAAACTCCGTCATTAGGCAAGTTGGGGTCTAGAAGGTCAGCCGAGCGTTTGGATAAAAGAAACTTCTACCATAAATATCATTGACATGTAAAGAATTCGATGGATTTTCACGTCTTAATTACGTCGCATTTCTGTTTCAGATTATACTTTAAATCCGAGGTTTCCTCAAAAGCCTATTAGAAAAGCTTTTGTCTGAATATTTTTGTAATAAATACAAGTTATTAAACATGAATAATTTTAGAATCCATGACCGTTGAAGTGCAAGAGATTTTTCAGCGTAACATTTGAATCTTTTTCATGAATCTGTAACTAATCGGAAAAGTCTACTTTGGGGTAAACAGGATGCAAAATTCGTGGAAAATTTTACCGAATTCACTGCTTTAATGTTGCTTGGCCGTATACGATATTATATCTGTACAATGTGATAATTATACTTTCTAAAGCTCTAAATTCAAGTGTTAAGAACATACATTTCTAAATTTTATTGAAACTATTACATCCATTCAATAGATCAAACATATCAAATGAATAGCCATAAGAAATACTTATGACGTTTGGCTCGAAAAAAAATGTACTAGTATCATGACACGACGTAACTAGTAGACAAATGACAAGAGAAGTGCAGTCATAGATACCATTGGCATGCCTGTATATGGAGTTGCAATGAATATAAAGTTGAATACATATCGAATTAAGAGTGAAGAGTATTATTATTTCAAAAGTAATAATTATCTTTCCTAAAAACTACTCGTAAATTTCAAGTAACAAATTCCAAGGTAATAATTATAATATGTAATATTCTTGAACAAAGTTTTGCAAGCTAGTTACGATTTTATAATTCCACGCTGGATTAATAAAATGTACTTTATGTTAGAATCAAAAAAATGTTAGAATCATGACATCGCAAAATGGGGTTCCCAAAGGTGTAATGGGTAATGAATATTCACATCAGCCACCCAGGTTCAATCCCCCATATGTCCGAAATCAATTTTCAGTTTGAGTTTTATTTTTTTTTTCAGAATTAGACTGAAGAGCAATTGTGCAAGGAACAAGTTTCGTTTCTAGTTAAGGTCTTCCATCTTCACAGAAGACGTTATAGTAATTCTACTGTTTATTATTCTTTTTTGACAAAATTTAATGCACGCGGTTTCTCGAGAACTATTCAGCGGTTTTCTATAATACTTTCACTGAATATGTGTAAGTACTTTAAGTTGTTAAATCAGAAAAAAAAATAGAAAAATCCCTTCCGGTGCCAATTTATTGGCAATTTCCTGATTTTGAAATGCAACGTTGTCTCCCTCTTTTCTCGAAAATGGCTGAATATATGAAATGGCAGACTCATTGGAAACGATAGCTCGTGACTTTCTGATTTGTAGAATTACCTTTTTATCTGTCGTCAATACTTCCGTTTGATGCGGGCTTCAAATAAAAAAAAATCGTATTTTCTAACTTTTTTTTGTTTTCCAGTATTTCTCATTCATTTTTGGAATGATAATAGAAACCCTTTTCTTAATGCTTAACATATGATTTGATTGAAAATTGATAATCGAAACTCTAGATATGAACATTCAAAAATCTGAAGCGGGTCCAAAATGGCGGCTGTCTCTGTCAACTACCACATCTCGCAATAGGGGTATACTGAGTCAGCTGAGCGTTTGCTTGAACGATGATAACATAAGGATAAATGAAATATAAAGGAATATTTGATTGTCACGTCGTAGTTACGTTTCTATTTTGTGTCAAACTAACGTCTTTTTTAATAGGTTTTGGCTGATTGTCAAAGTAGAAAAAGAAAAGACTAAATGTGCAAATGAAATCCGATTCCTAATATCCTTTTTTTGCACCACGAAATCACAGATCTTCAATCATTTTTATAAGTAATACTTTAGATAATTAAGATAATATAAGATTTATTTAAAGTCGGGTACATCAACAAAGAACATTACCTCTGAAGAGCTATTTTCCGACTACATAATAACATAAACTACAACAATCATACATAATGAACAAGAACAGTTTTTAAAAATTATATCACACTACTAAAATATCACTATTCCTCCGTGGTGCTTTACATTGACATAGTAGTCACTACATTAAAACTGACAAACCGATTATAACTTAAACCATGTTTCCTAGTTTCTAAAAATAAAGTTAGCGACAGGCACAGCAATTACAACAATTTCCTTACCGACGATTTATGTTGGATTTAAACTGGTAAAAAGAAGTAATATTTTTTAAAAGATTCTAGTAAAGAATTCCAAAGTTTTGCAGACTCATATCTAATAGACTTCAACCCATATGGTGTTGTTCTCGTTTTTGGTAAAACAGCAGTTTTCGTGTTTCTAAAAGAATAAGGTGTTTCTTTAATATGAATAAAATCATGTAGGTAAGAAGGGCTTTGTTTGTTTAAAATCTTAAAACATTCTATGGCTATTGTTTGAATACGCCTGAGCTTGAGGCATGGTAATCTTTATTTGTACAGAAGATAACTATATAATTTTTTGTAGTCATCATAAGCAAACCGCAGTGCTCTTGGCTGTAATTTTTTCCCATTTTTCTTGTTTCTCGTTACCACAAAAATCCCAAACTAATGGACAGTTGTTGAAGTTTGAGATGATAAATGTATGATAGATGGTTAGTTTTCCTAATTTGGTCTGGTGTACTCCTATTTTTTTTACACAAAACGGTATATTTAATTGTTGTGAAGCTTTTTTTTTTTTACAAATGTTTGAAATATGAGAGCTAAACTTAAGCTCAAAATCTATAGTAACACCGAGTAATTTTACTTCGTTTTCCGGATGAATAATATTACCATCAATTTCAAACCAAATGTTTTCCTGTTTAGTTTTCTTTCCGAGACATATAGCTTGAAATTTATCAAATTTTATATCAATACATGGTAACAAATTTCTGAAGCAAATTTTCTAGAATTAATATTTTTTCGTGTTTAGTAGCAGATTCTCTCTATTTAGATAATTCTAAATGTATTTTTTTCGTGTGGCGTCACAATTGATTTCCCGCACTCGGAAAATATAAACGTGAAGCGTTTTTATCATGCTTACGTCTATTTCAAAGATGTTCTGTGCGATATTGAGGTAAGTTTCACCCTGTGCTATATATGCATTAAACAATTACTATAAAGGACTGACATTCAATCGTTTTTTTTAACATCTATTGACAGAATTTTTTTCTCAATGAGATTTTTGTCGTTGAAGCTGCCTTGAAAAATGCAGAAATTATCCCACCCAAATACTATATAAGAAATGAGATTTGCAATAAACGATGGAACTATAAAAGGAGTAGAAATTGATTCTGGGTAGTATAACAGAATTCCTAACATGTATGCAAAGGTCATTTATGAACAGTACGCATATAGTAACAGACTGAATTAATATTTATTAAAGGAAGAAGGCTTTCACACGTACATGTATGAATTTAACTGAACATGAACATTTAATCAAAATAATTGGGTGTATCAATAATTCAATTTCTTTTTTTTTCTATGATTTATACAGTTTCCCATATTTGTTTTTAATACAGAACATTAAATTGAATTAATTATTTTTCAACAGTAAGAATTGGCTGTAAATAGATTTCGTCATAATATAGCCAGTTTCCATACTATTGGGATAGTCAAAAGGAATTTTTTGGGTTGAAAAAAATTCTTTGTTAATTTTGCCAAGTATTAATTTTCAGTCAGGATTATTTTTATTGACATTATTTAATGTAAATAATTTAATTTAATTATTGTTAATTGTTGTTGTTGATTTCTCCATCTCTATGATACTTAGTTTTATTGATAAGTGTTTTTATTTGTATATGTTAGAATGAACATCTGTAAATCACCAGAATGGGAACCTCAGATTATGTTCAAAATTAATTAATCCTGACAGAAATTCATACACACTTCATTTATCAATTTTATTTTTGCATTACATACCGGTAGATTGAAATTAGGGTCATTGTTGATCAGCATGTTCAATGATGTGAAACGCTGATACGTATACCGAATTGATATGCACTCAAGTCTGACTTTCTGCGCTAATGCGATTGAAACCGCGGATGTTGATACCATTTTATAAACA